CTAAGAGCTAATTTAAGATTAGTCAATGTTGTTTCATTGTTGCTGGCAATTATTATGTCGTCAGCATAGACCAAAAGTGCTAAAAAATGAAACCTTGACTCTTGATGAACAAAGAATGATCATTGGCTGATTGGACAAAACCTGTCTCTATTAAAATAGATGAAAACTTGCCGAACCATTGACGAGAAGCTTGTCGTAAACCATATATGGACTAATGCAACTTGCAAACAGCATTAGAAGGAAGACTTTCCCCCTTTCGACAAGAATAACCTGGTGAATACTCATATAGACTTCCTCAACAAGATCACCATGAAGAAAATCATTTATGACATCAAGTTGAGTAAGATCTAAAAATTATAGCCAAAGAAAGCAAAAGCTTAACAGGAACGAGTTTTGCTACATGAGAAAAGGTATCCAAAAAGTCTATACCTTCCTGTTGTGTGTATCCTTTAGCAACAAAACGTGCTTTGTATCTTTCCACAGTACCATCGACTGTAAAATTTATTTTATATACCCATTTGTATCCAACAGGTCGCTTGTCCGGTAGGAGTGAGACAAGAGACCAAGTGCCATTGCCTTCTAAGGCCTACAGTTCAACATTCATTGCATCATGTCATTCCTAAAACTTAACAGCATGTTAAAAAGATTGAGGCTCGGTGTGGGTGCTAATGGCTAGAGTAAAGGCACGATGAGAAGGAGAAAGCTTATCATAATGTAGAAAGGAAGAAATGGGATACAGAGGAGCTGAAGAAGGACTATGAATATCATGAAGATGGTTTGTGGCCAAAGAACAATGATAATCCGCGAGGTATGCTGGTCGCTTTGTGGGAAGAAGTGGACGAGAGACAAGTTGTGATGCTTGTGGAAAATTAGCATCAGAATTGGAGTTATCATTAGGTGGTGAGAAAGAGGAGGTAGACTGTGAAGAAGATGGACGAGGATACTCAACAGAGTGTGGTATGACAAGAGTAAAAAATAAGTCAAGATGAGCATTATCGGGTTTAGATTGAGCAAAAGGAAATATAGACTCATGGAAAACAACGTTCCTAGATATATAAATCATATTGCTCTCCAGATAAAGTAATTTGTATCCTTTATAACCAAAAGGATATCCTAGAAAAACAGATGCTCGAGCTCGTGGGGTGAATTTGTGGCGTTAGCTAAGAAGAGTTGATCCATAACATAGACACCCAAAGGAACGAAGATGGGAATATGTGCGTGGTTTGTTATTTAACAACTCGAAAGAACTTTTATTGGACAATAAGGGTGAAGGTGTTCTATTGATCAAATATACAGCAATTAGTACACAATCATCCCAATAACAGAAAGGAACCTGAGATTGAAAAAGAAGGGCTCGTGCAACATTGAGTATGCGTTGGTATTTTCTTTCAACAACTGAGTTTTATTATGGAGTTTCAACACAAGAGTGAAAAGGAATTATGCCTTTAGAAGAAAAGAACTAAAGTAAGCTTGGGAGCATTATCAAACCTAACATATTTAAGAGCAATATTATACTGTGTTGAAATCAGGTTATAACACTCTGGAAAAACTCTCAGACCATTTGATTTTGAGGCTAAAAGATAAACCCAGGTGGCTCTTGTACAATCATCAACAATGGTGAGAAAAAAAACGATGACCAGCCCTTGTGTTGACTTGAAATGGACCCCATATATCAATGTGCACCAAATCAAAAGGATGCGAAGACAGATTATTATTTGAAATGAAAGGGAAACGTCTTTGCTTAACCATATAACAAATTTGACAATGTAGATAAAGAACTAGAAAGTTGCAATTCATTACAGAATAATTGAAGTTTTACAACAGATGGATGTCCCAATCTAAAATGCCAAATGTCATTTTTGCTCATTACAGAAGATAAAGAAGTTGAATTACAGATAGCAACTCCTAGATCTAGGAAATACAAATCTCTTTGATTTCCACCCCTCCCAATCATCAAGTCCTGAGTGAGGTCCTGGATAAGACATGAATCGGAAAGAAAGTTGACACTATAATTGTGGCTAAGGGTGAGAGCACTGGCACTGAGTAAGTTGAAAGCAAACAATGGAACATAAAGGGTACCATGTAATATTAAGGAATCAGACAATCTAATTGTTTCTATACGTTCAATTGCAACGATCTGACTATTGGCTAATGTTACTGTGGTGTTGTGGATAGCAGATGAATTAGAGAACAAAGAGATATCACAACAAACATGATGACTAGCACCCGTGTCAATGACCTATGTACCAGAAGGAATTGAGAGATGTGCAAGAGAAGAAATAGAGATGGAATTACCATAGATTTGTGTTACGGATGGAGTCACGGCTGTTTGGGGTTCAGTCACGTTGGATGCACGATGGTGAAGCTATGGACTCAGATAAACAATCAACTTGAAGTTGATCGGTAGTTAGATGATTATTCAGTGGAGGTGTACTCATAGTAGCAACTGCAGAAGGTGAACTCTGTAAATGATTCGAAGAATTCTGGACCTAAGTCAATCTGGATTGAAGGGAGCCCACTGAGGCTAACTAGGCTGTGTGCGTAAACTGGGCCTTGGGCTTGTATCCAGGTGGATACCCATGTAATTTGTAGCACTTGTCAATTATGTGCCTAGTCAGCCTACAATGTGTACAAACGGGTCTATCTCGTCTAAGTTTAGCCGAAGAAGATGCAGCCGCCATAGGGAGATTCGTCGTCGAACCAGTAGTGAAAGAACCTGACGATGAGGTCTGAAACGCCAAGGGATTTGCTGGGCTAGATCCAGTACCAATTGTATAACTGTCTCTCCTCCTAAACCACCATATTAAATACTTTCGAGATTGAAGGCAGATGGTCATTCATCAAGATCTGACCTCTAATGATGCCATAGGACTCGTTCAAGCCCATCAAGAATTGCATAACGTACTCCTATTGCTGATAATCAAGCCAAGCTTTCATGCCTGCACAATGACAAATCGGAATCGACTGATAGTTTTTGTATTCGTCCCACGAGAATTTCAATCGTGTATAATAGGTATTGATATCAAGGGAAACCAATATGAGACCAAGGTGGTCTCCACTGTGAAGAAAATGTGGACTGATAGTATTGTCCATGGAAACTGAATCTCGTTGATCCATGTTGCTAGACTATGAAGGTGGGGTCAAAGGCTAGAATCGATTGTCATTGTGCTGCTGACCTCCACGGGCCATGTTCAGGCACGAAGTAAAGAAGCGTAGACGATATGCTCTGATAGAGAGAAAACTGGTTCTCTTATTCACATATTCTCAGAAAAAGTACATCATATATAGTAGAGCATTGTCATAAGCGAATACAACTCTGTATAGCACACCTTAACAAAACTAATTCTAAAAAGGTCTATTGGTTATATCATAAAGAGGAAAATAAAAAATGAAAAAATAATAGTTGGTAATATTGTAAAAGTTTCTCATCATCTACATATCGAACCTAAAACACAAGAAAACACACAAAATCAATGACAATACGAAACTTATAACGGAGATGTAAATGCACAAGTTCGAGCACTTCGGATATGAAAACTATAATTATAATTATGGATTGTTCTACTATCAATTAGTAAATTTTCGAGATTTAAGTATTACAGAATTAATCAACTTACCCATCACCTTTCCCACAAAACATATTCCTACTACTATTTTATCATTAAAACTGAAAGATCCAATGACCAACTTCCACGTTCCAATTCGATTATTGAGATTTGAAGTAAGATACTTTTGTGAAACAAAAGTTTTCCACTCATAATTATTAACAAAATTTCTTAAAAGTCAAAACTCTGAGAATTTATCCTAGCCTCATAAATTAAGAGCATATATTTGGTCCGTTGAATTTTTAACTTATAAAATAAAGAAGAAAATGACTGCCAACAACTTTAATTAGTATAAGTTACAATTAATTATCTTTTGAAAAAAAAAATAGGTAATATTAATTGTGATAATTTGCATGATAAAACGTTTTATCCATCTGACGTCATTAATAATCTTTTCTTAAGAATGAAAATAGAATTTTTATTTTATACTGAAATTGACTATAGAAGAATGAAACTAAGCTCCCGTTTGGCATATATTCATTCAAAATATATTATTTCATAACTCGTTTTCAACCACACATTTTTCAATAAAATAATAGAATTTTTATTTTATTTTATTACTAAAGGACAATTTTCAATCAGTCCAAAGAATAAACTTTTTGTTCAAAACAATCATCTTTTACTTCACTGGTAGATCTATCTATGCTTTATTAGCTTAAATCCAATCCTTATTTATTAAAAATCAATAACAAAAATCTGAACCTAATCCAAATACTAAGCTAGCCTTTTAACAATTTTTAGTTATTCCACACCCCTTAATTTAAATCATTAATAATTCTATTTTATCTCCATCAGTTTTAAATTTTAGATATTGCAATTTAAATTTAGTTTTGGAGTAGACAAAGCAACATCATTATTTATTTTGTGCAAATTATGAATATATGTACCAAATTTGTGATAAAAAATGTAAATGAGACCTACACGTAAAATCTTTTAGACAGTTGATTTTAAGGGATACAACCCTAGTTCAAGGGAGTAAAAGCTCCACAAACATTTGTTTTTTGGCTTGAAAACGCTCCCCACCCAGCTTTTTCTGTCCCACTTTTTAATAAAGCTAAAGCAAGAATAAAATGATCAACGAATAAGAAGAAAGAAGGGGTGGGGGTGGGGTGCAACAAATACAAAAGCTTCCTCAACCCCACAAGTATAAAATACTCCTTAGTTGACAAAGACATGGGGTTACTTCAATCTCTAATTATGAGAAAGAAAACACAATTCTAAAAACTTCAACAAAAGTTCGTTTTGGTTCACAAGCAAGGAAAGATGAGAAAGTGAAGAGCAAAACCCACAAGCTAAAGAGAAAAGGGGGGGTATTAATCTGATTTCCTGTTTTATTTGAAGGTTACTCTCTGCTGGTTTAAACCAATTAGTGGAGTAAATTTCCAGTAACAAATGATGGCTAGAAACCCTAATTGGTGGAGTGTGAATGGCATGCATCCACAGTCTCACCAGCTCTCTTCTCCTTCTCCATTCCTGTATGCTTCTTCTTCTTCTTCGGCTGCTTCGGATTCTTCAACTGCGAATCCCTCTCAAGAATTTCCCGTACGGTCATGGAGCCAACTGCTTCTGTAAATCTCTCTCTCCCTCTCTGTTTGTGTTTATGTTTGTGTATTAAGGGATAAATCCCACCTATAATGGGTTTTTGTTTTTTTATCTACCCTAGCTAGTTCTTGGCTGTCAGCATGATTGTCTGTGTGTGAGTAATCAAACTTCAAAGAATTTTATGAATCTTTTTATTTTCCTTTTATCTTACCAGTTAAACTGCTCTCTTGATGTGTGCACCTTTATATGCAAACTGCAACTATCTATCTATCTATCTATCTATCCATCCCTGTGTGTGTAAGATTTGGGTGGTAATTTGACACCGGAAGTTGTGTTTGATCAGGGGTGGATTGGCCGGGACTGGAGAAGAAGAAAGGTTTGGTAGTAGTCTTTTTCAACAACAGAAGAAGATGGAGAATTGGGAAGACCACGTTTTGAACCCATCTTTTAGGGTTCCTGTTGCTGATGTAAAGCAAGAAGTTGCTCAAACAAGCCAACTTTATGGTCACGTAGATGATGAATTTCAAGCTTCTAGATCTTCTTGTTGGCCTCAAGTCATTCCAGTGTCATCCCCTACCTCTTGTATCACAAGTGTAAGCAACAATATCTTGAATTTCTCCGGCGCCAAGGTCGACCGCGATAGGAATACTCAACATCCAGATCATTCTTCTGAGGTGAGAGAGAAACAAAAATAGAGCAAGAATCGATTTTTTTTTTCTTCATCATTCATTCATTCTTTAGTCCCATATCAAAAGCTTTATTAGTGAGTATAATCCAGAAGAAAAAAACAAAAGTGATTATTTTCTTAGCACGCCCAAAAAGTCTTATGATTAGTATGCTTGAAAATCTTTCAAATGACTCATAATAATAGCCTACATCTAAATTTGATGTCGGCTACATGAATTATTTTTTGCCGTTCATTCAATCCATTGCTACATAGCTGTTAGATATGTTCATAGTTTGTTGACTGTCCCTCTTTGTTCTTTTTGTTAAAGTGCAACAGCATGAGCACTGGTGGGGTATCTAAGAAGCCAAAGGTTCAACAGTCTTCCACTCAACCAGCTTTGAAGGTCAGGAATAATCTCTTTCCCTTTTACAAATTTTCATAGAGGCTTCATTTTATTTTATACATATTTAATTTCTTCACAAAATTCGTTCATATCAATGCATAAATACATGAGTTTCTTTAAACAGGTGAGAAAGGAGAAATTAGGGGACAGAATAACAGCTCTTCACCAACTTGTTTCTCCATTTGGAAAGGTAAATTATTGCATTCTTGATTCTCCAGTCTCCATTATTTACTATACTCAAGGAATAAATCTGCAGCAACATTTAATTAATTAAGATGAAACCAGTAAAACTGAAAAGATCCCTTTTTTTGAAAAAAAAAAAAAAAACTTTATCATCCCATCTAAGGTTGTCTTTTAAGATTAAAGAAAAGTTCGAAAAAAAAATGATCAGTTTCATCTGAGGTGTGTTAACTGTTATCGCATATTTCTTTCTTTCTCTTTTGCAGACTGACACTGCTTCAGTCTTGTCAGAAGCCATTGGTTATATCAAATTCCTTCAGGGTCAAATTGAGGTAACATTATGCTCCATAATATTCTGTGCAAACAGCTAAAAAGGAAAATCAATGGTGGTCCATTTAAAAAATTAATGCAAGAAATTCTCAGCAATATACATTCTTGATTCTTCACGTATTTTCCATAGTATATAATTGGTATAAAATTTTTTCTTTTCCTTTAATTAAATTGTTACCAGACAAGACAAAAGACTTACACAATTTCTCGAAAATCCTGCAGGCACTGAGTTCGCCGTACATGCGTAATGCATCAAGAAGCATGGGTCACCAACAATCTGTAAGTACCTATACATGCGCATTTCACATTTTCCCATGCAACACTAATGTCCTCTCTCTCACTCTCTCTCACACACACACACAAACACTGTAATTTTTATTATTGTTTTTTTAAATTTCTATTCAATAAATTATGAACGACCAATGTTTTTCTCAAGGTTCAAGAAAGGGATTGTTTATTTCCAGAAGAGTCTAGTCAGGTACGCTTTATTGGATCCATCACTTCCTTAGAAGAGGCTTTAAATTAAATTATTGGTTAAGTACAGCATAATGCATGTGTTTTGAGTAGAAAAAGTTGCCTTCCCAAAAACATGGTTCCCAGCTTTATCAACTTAATTTTGCTAATAACGAAGAATTTAATGCTTGTTTGGGAGGAATTTTTGGGGGAAGAATTGATTTTGAATAGTGATATTATGGGAAATGTGTGGTTGAAAAAAAAGAAAAAATTATTGATGTGATGGAAAATATTATTTTATTGAAGAATGTGTGGTTGAAAATGAGAATTGATTTACTGTAGAAAAATTTAATTCCTCCCAAACAGGGCCTAAGTAAGTTCTTGCTGTGAAACATGTTTTGAATTTTTAACTTACCTGTGAAGAAATATTTAGAGCTTGTTTGGGAGGGATTTTTGGGGGAAGAATTGATTTTGAATAGTGATATGATGGGAAATGTGTGGTTGAAAAAAAAGAAAAAATTATTGATGTGATGGAAAATATTATTTTATTGAAAAATGTGTGGTTGAAAATGAGAATTAATTTACTATAGAATTTTGAAAATCCCTTCCAAACAGGGCCTTAATCTTGTTTTTTCAAAAACAATTTCTTAAAGCTAGCCATAATTTGATACCAGTACTTTACCTTCTTTATTAATTTTCTTCATCTAGTTCTTGAATGATGTTGGCATGGAAGGGAGAGGAGCTTCTGAGGAGGTGACTGATCGCTTATCTTTCTTAATTAAATAAATGCAATGACTAAATATAATTTCAAGTTTAATTTGATTTTATGATAGTTTCCACATAAATGAATATGGAAATTTTTTTACTTAATATCTCTTTTTTTCCCCCAAAATGTTTCTTAATCTGTGTGTGCAAACGTTTTCGTAAGTTTCATAAAATCGTCGAAATTCAAATTAATCTAACCTAATGTCTTGTTTTCTGGTAACATATATTATAGAATATCGAAGATGGACCGAAAGATTTGAGAAGTAAAGGGTTGTGCTTGGTTCCAGTTTCTTGCACTCAGCTTGTGGGAAGTGACATTAACGGAGCTGATTACTGGGCTCCGGCTCTTGGTGGAGGATTTTGATTCTGATTTATTTTCTGGCACCGTGCGCCGGTGCTCCAGTGCCGTGGCTTCGTGGTGGAGCTAGCGATAACATCAGAAACAGTCAGTCTCCAAGCAAGGTTGACTGCCACTGATGCTACCATGCATTCTGATAGGGAAGAAACTAAGAGTTAAGAAGCCTTTCTGTTTCAAAATAATAATAGTAATAATAATTAATGGCCTAGCTGATGTCCCTTGTATATATGCATTTTAACTTTAGTTGCCACCATTGAATATCATCTCAAGCTCTTGGTTTATTAATTTATGGAAACTCTATTATCCTTATGTTAAATTGCCGTGTTAACTTGCTACACAAATTGTTGGAAGTTGAAAAGTAATTATATCATCGTAAATTGATTTGGGTAGAATAACGTCTTGAAAAATTGAATGCTATAAAATCTTAATGGTCGAGGCAAGAGTTAAAACTATTTCTCCTTAAAACGATAATGCCCCGCACTGATTCTGACGGTATTCCGGCACTCATCTCCCAAGATATACCGACATCAACTTGTAATAGTAGCACTACAAATTACACTACCGACGAACCTACTAACGTTTTGATCTCTCTAAAAATTAGAGGACTAAAATGCACGAAAATAATTTTTCAAGGTCGGATTGTAAAATGTGAAAAATGTAAAGACGAAGGAATAATTTAGGAAGAAAAATAAAATCAGAATTGATTTTGAAGTGAATGAGAATCGGGGTATGTAGACCTATTTATAGAAGTTGAAATGTTGTATCCAAAAGACACAACAGCCGAAAAATTGTGTATTCAACAGACACAAATCGTTTGGACAAGTTCAACCGTCCTTCAAGAAGAATCCACGTGTCACGCACAGAATATCGGGGGAAAAATAATATAAATAAATATATACTAAAAAATATATATCAGCTTAGTCCAATCCAAATCCAAGCTCAAGCCAACGACCCGTACTGTGCCGACCAGTTGGATGGACGGCGATGGTGCCCGTGTATGGACTTTGGCCCAACCTACTAACATGTAAGTTATCTTCCCTTCAAAAACTATTGGTACCCCTTGGGGCCCAAACCTAAGTCTCAAAATTGAGGAATATAAAGTGCTTTATATTCTTCTAGCTTTCCTATGTGGAATTGACACTTTTTCAATTTTCCACCAATTTTTATTCCAATTTATTTCAATTTCAGGTGGTCACCTTTTGACATTAATTTCTTATTCACCTTAAATTGGTTTTGAGAAAATAAATATATAACATTAATCTATTTATGGAGTAGAACAGACTCGGCCAAAGAAATAGTTTATCCAACTAACGGGACCCACTAAAATAATTGGTCAAAAGTTGGTCAAACCAACTAATCAAATACATTTTTTTCCAATAATCCCCCACATGAATGGAAATTAATGCAAAAGACTATGTAGACCTTATAGAGAGATCAGACGGAATGTTATTGCATCCGAATACGTACCTTATGGGTTTGAACTTTTCGTAGTAGAATACTATCGGATTTACTTGGCCAATCAGTGAACATGATGTCTTTCATTGTCAGCTGTTGGTGTAAACCAATACAATAGTATCAACACGATAACCTCCCTAACATTTTCGAGTTCTCACTGTTGTGTTCATTTTGGCCCCAAACAACTTTTGAATTTCATAAGTATTTTAGAGAATTCAAGCATTTAAAACATTATAATGAAGCGGTCACACTTCACACTTATATAGGTGATCTCCTATTAAAAGCGGATCCATGAGATTTTCTCTAGATTTTACAAAATCTATAGAAATAACACAATTTGAGATCAATTGTTTAATTGTAGTATGTCTTCGACGAATATGTCGAGATTTACCATTATACGTACTACTTTGTACTCTACCGATAGCCGACTGACTATCACAATTTATACTAATTGCAGACACAAGTTTAGGCTAACATGGAATATCCTCTAAAAAAATCTCGAAGTCATTCTACTTCCTCTCCAGCTTTATCTAAAGCTATGAACTCATATTCCATAGTGGATCGAGCTATATATGTTTGTTTAGAGGATTTCTAAGATACGTCCGTAAAAACATACCCACTGGTGGATTTTGAGTCTTTTGTATATGATATCCAATTAGCATCACTGTATCCTTCAAATACAGCTATATATCTAGTATAATGCAATCCAATATTTGAGGTGTATCGTAGATATCTAAGAACCATTACCAATGCCTTCCAATGATCATTATTTGGGTTACTTATATATCTACTAAGTTTGTTTACTGTATATGCAATATCCGGACGAGTGCAATTTGTAATATACATTAGATTGCCTACTATCTAAGAGTACTCTAATTGAGATACGAGTTTGCTTTTATGTTTGGCCAATTGTGGACTTAAGTCTACCGGTATTTTAACAGGACTTTCATATATATATGAAACTTGTTAAGTACAGTTTCAAAATAGTGAGATAGAGATAAGACAAGTCCCTCGGATGTTTTAAGGACTTTAATTCCCAACATTACATCTGCAATACCCATATCTTTTATGTCAAAATGTTTTGTCAACATTTTCTTGGTATTTGTTATGATATCATAATTACTACCCATAATTAGCATATCATCAACATATAGACATACAATTATATATGCATTAGGTGTGGTTTTAATATAAACACATTTATCACACTCGTTAATCTTAAAATTTGACAACATAGTTTGTTAAATTTTGCTTGCCATTGTTTTGGCGCTTGTTTTAGTCAATCTAACGACTTAACGAGTCTACACACTTTTTTTTCATATCCAGGAGCAATGAACCCTTTAGTTTGTTCCGTG